ACGGGCAAAGTTTCTTAATAAAAAGCGCCCAGTATATGGCACGTTGTCAAAAAAAGAAGGGCAGCGTTTTTACTGTATTCTATGAGCTGTCCAAGGTGCACTAAAGGTCAAAAGAATTCCTGGAAAATTATGTTTCAGGAGAAAATCAGTCAGTGTGAAACGGCTTTCTCTAATTGTTCTGCTATCTTTTGCAGTCAGTGGGTACATTGTTATGAGTACGTCTTCTCTCTGGGCATCTTACTGTGCTCTGTTCCTTTTGGGTTAGTTTCCTTCTATAATGCTTTGCTTTGGTGCTGTCTGACTGAATCTGTTTTGGATTTGATGCATTATACGTAGCCAGTGAGTGGGGACCCGGGCTTCTCAGGGCTGGATTGTTTGGTTTAGCGGTACTTAATTTATAGCTTAGTCAGAGCAGTATTAAGTAGTGCATGACTCGACTGCTCGTGTTTTCTTGACGATTTGTACGGCGTTTACTACTTTTTTCCTGAATCGAAGGGTCTAACAAAGCTATGTCCAACATTGTCGGAACTTTCCAGTGACACGCTAATTGTGAGCCTCACTTGCTCTTGTTATTTTACAATTCTTATTATTATTTGTAAGGACATATCTTAGGAGCCGCAACAAGAATCGTAAAATATCAAGAATCTTTGTTTTGATTCGCTTGAAGATTACCCACTCTATTATTATTACAGGTGTGACGCTGGGAAATCTTTCGCCGTCACTGTTTTGTTGGCTAACTGAACAGGAGTTATGCAGCCGGCTGTCACTGAATTTATCCTATAGTGTCAGTATGTTTCTTGGACGTCTTGTTCTTCCATGGTCTGTCGTACTAGTCATTCATCATTATCGCGCACCAGTAGTGCTTTTTGTGGTTTCCTCTCTCGCACTATTTGTTGCCTATATTTCGCTTACGATGACACTGCGTGCTGTACGAGTTTTCACACGTATCAATGCCGTAAATCATTTTTCAAATTGCGTAGAAAGGGAGATAGGCAGTGGGGAGGTGGTGATTAAACAGAAGAAATCACGAAATGGCCAGTACGTGGCGCTGATCAACAAAGATGACACGAAATGCGAGGACTGCATTGCTGATGACGACCTGGATGATAGGGATATCATCTTGCATAATGAACAGGATTTGGGTAAATACGCCATCTGAATACCGATCTATTATTACATGTTTATACAGTTTTTAATGTTTTTTGACAAAATAAGGCACTGCTTTGTTACTGCGCTTAAGAGTTCTGTTCTCATGTATTTCCCAGTGATGTAATGTTTTAACTGATACGCTGTTATCACTTTCCAATAACTTTTATTTTCCACTAGCTCTGTTGTATAGAAAGACGCGTAGAACAATCTCTTTCTTCCTCTGTCTCTTGAATTCGCTCAGTACACTTCAATAATATCTGTACGGTTTAATTAGGTGCTTAATTTACAGTTCTTTTTTTTTTTTCGTTTTTCTCTTTCTGGTAAGTGGACCTGACGGGACAAATAGTTTTTTCTTTAG